TGGCAATATAATAAAGGAAACATAACCTTCCCGAAACTCAGTCCTAACAATAAACCATAATGAAAGTAGCCTAAATTCTGTTCACTATTATATAAGAAACAGGGTAGAAGTTTCAAGTACAGATTTCAATATGTATGTCTGTTTGATAAATGAACCACAGGGGAGCCTGGGTGGCTCGGTTAGTTAAGCATCTGCCTTTGGCTCAGGTCATGGTCTCAGGGTCCTGTAAAGGCTTCCCGCTCCATGGGGAGTTTGCTCCTCCCTCTCCCTCTACCCCTCACCCACACTTTTGTGTGGGCGTATGCTCTCTCTCTCTCTGTTGCTCTTGCTCACTCCCACTCTCAAATAAATAAATAAAATCTTTAAAAAAATTTTAAAAAGTAACAACTACATCAAAAACTAAAAAGGAATCAACAACGTCAAAATGGTATAGGAGGTTCAAGTAACTCGGGCAGGATGGGGTGGAGTGTGTGTGTGTTGTGTTACTCTTTCCTTACCTAGGAACCTTTCACTGCTCAACTTAGGAGATACAAATGTTAGCTACCATTTTGCTTACCTGACTTTATTAACCCCTGATGCATCCCACCCTCATAACTGAAGCCACGGGGTTTCAAAAGACAGCTTGAATTAATACATAACAGTAAGATACCTTGTTAGGATATCTTATGTGATTCACCAGCTTGAAAGGAACTCAACATATTCAGATGATCAAGTGATCAAAATCAGCAAAACGATACTCACCGAGTTAAATGGGTAGAAATACCAGACAATTTCACTGTGTGGACTAAGAAAGTTAATACAACAGGATCACAGTCCCTTATCTGAAACCCTTAGGTCCAGGTATGCTTCAGATTTTTGTGAGTCTTAGAGGTCAGAGGGAGCATACAGCATATATTACGTAACATTCCTAACTAGATCTAGGATAGCACCTCATAGCCTCATATATTACTATCTCTACAGCAAAATATGTGAATATTCTAAGTGGGCTTTAAAACTAAACAAGCTCATGACAGTTTGGGTCAGGTTCTGCCATCAAATGAACTTTGATGCCAGACTTTTGGAGGAAAAAAAAAGGGCAACAAAACTTAGTTTTTCAGAGATTTTTAAGATAAAAGGTTAGGAATGTAAATCCAATACCACTATTCATCAAAGCATAAAGACATTTTCAAAATATACAGAGTTTATTAATTTACTGGAGATGAAAAAGTAAGGTAAATTAAAATTTGGCCAAGTAAAAAAAGATGTTCCTGGCAAATATAACCTTAAAAATTATGGGGTGCCTGGGTGGCTCAGTTGGTTAAGCGTTTGCCTTGGGCTCAGGTCATGAACTCAAGGTCCTGGGAGAGCCCAAGGTGGAGTCCCAGGTCTGGCTCCCTGCTCAGCAGGAAGTCTGGTTCTCCCTCCCCCTCTGCCCCTCCCAACGCCCCCCCATCCCAGCTCCTGCCCGCTCGATTGCGTGTGCGGGCTCCCTCTAATAAATAAACAAAATCTTTCAAAAAAAGAAAAAAGAGGAAACACAAGTTACCTGACTTTAGTTTATTCAAATGAACTAAATAAATGTTGAGACTACTTAAAAATAAATGTCTGTGTTAGAAGCAAGGAGTATTTGAGTAAAACAGGAATGTCTGAGAACCCTTATACTTATAGTCTTTTGTACCTCCTTTGCATTTGAACACATGTTGCACTTTCCCTAGCTTTTGGTTTTCACATTGTTTGAGATTTCAGGGATTTGCTGTATTTCCCATTCATCTCCTCCTTAGCTTGTCCCTCTTTTTTATTTAAGTGGCTATTCTGTGCCATGTAATTTGTTACGAACTGCGGATGTAACGCTTCTCAATCTTCATGCCTTGACACAAGGGTAAATTTTAATTGGTCATGAGGTATTCCCAAGTAATTAGTTACCAACAAAGCACCACAGTTTATGAAGAATTTTACATGTTTACACATGGGTGTATTCAAAATTTTCATTATGATAGCATCATTCTCACTCATACTCTGATATATTTTCTTGATAGGGAAAGAAGTGGCTTTATCACACTGTGAACTACCTATAAACTCACCACATAATTCATCTATGTCTATAATCAGGGAAATTATAACGCCCTCTGTGTAAACATCAGTTCCGTGTGTGTCTTAGCAGAACAAAGTCTGAGAACAGATGCTCTAAGACATTCCAAGATGGACAAAAGCCACCGGAGAGAATGCCCAGTGCCAACAACTAACCACTCTGAAATATGAAAACAGCTATTCTCCTGTCTTATACTGTCTGTTTAAAGAAATACAGAAATCATTCCCCAAATCTGAAGGGGCACCATACTTAACTATGACATGCCTCAGTTATTTATCACTTTTATCCTTCCATCTCTTACCCTGCTTATTCTACGTATTTCCTTTGTCACCAATAAAGTGCTTACCTAACACCTCACATTCGGTTGAAAGTGCACCTATGTTTCATGATACCAGGGTTCAGAATTATAGTCGGCCCACAAACACATGGAACTGTGCCAGTCCCCTTACACATGGATATTTACAGTACTACACTAAAATGTATTTTCTTTCTTATGATTTTTCCAATAACATTTTCTTTTCTCTACCTTACTCTATTGTAACACAGTTTACAATACATATAACACACAAAATATGTGGCTGTTTACATTATCAGTAAGACTTGCAGTCAACAGTAGGTTATTAGTAGTTGAGTTCTTGGGGATTCAGAAGTTCTACGAAGAATTTTGTCTGCATGGGTGGGGTTGGCACCCCAACCCCTGTGTTGTTCAAGGGCCAACTGCACTGTAGAGGAAACAAAAATTAAAAGGCACAGGGCTAGCAGAACATGCAATTCTTGATCTTGGGATCATGAGTTTGAGTCCCACGATGGGGATGGGGGTAGAGTATTAAAAAAAAAAAAAAAGATGTTTAAAAAAAAATTAAAAGGCACAGCTTCAAAAAATTTCAAACTTACTGGGACTTGGAATGAGATGAGACAGAACTATAAGAACATAGATATGGTTAAGGGTCATTACAGACAGCACCGTCTTGTGTAATTCTCATTCTGTTGCACAGTAAATATTAATACACCTTTTTGCACATAACGAAGGAAGTTTATTTTGAAGTGACATGCTTAAAGTCCCGTAGTCAGTAAGCAAGAGGGGCAATGGTACTGGAATCTGGGTTCTTTGGCCTCTAAGCCTCTGTTCCTTGTACTACACCTGCTACTCTCAACAGAGGGTGAGAAGGGCTCTTGTCATACTGAGGTAATTGCCAACATGCTGACTGAAATACAGCCTCAGAATGCTGAAGCTGGAAGAGACCTTGTCAAAGAACGTGAACCCCACATCCAGTGCAGGACTCCTATTCACTCTTTCACTATCTGTCCCCTACAGCAGAGTTTCTCAAAGTGTGTCACAGTACCTTGTGCCTGCTTCAGAACCAATGAAGCACCAGGTAAAACATTCCTGGGCCCCACCTCAGTCCCACTGAATCAGCTTATCTGGCTGTGGGACCTGGAGACCTTCACTTTTTTAAATTTTATTTTTAAGTAATCTCTACACCCAACGTGGGGCTCAAACCTACCACCCTGAGATCAAGAGTCACACGCTGCACCAACTGAGCCAGCCAGGCATCCCTGGGGGGCTCCACTTTTAACAAGTCCTCCAGGTTGGTGTTTTTCAAACTCTAAGTCCTAAGATCAATTCAGTGAATAACACTGTTTTTTTTTAATAAAATAGTTTGGAATACGTTAGATTTATAAAGATTGATAGGAATAGAAAAATACCAGAGGGCACTACTCTTAGTACTGTTTCAGGCAAACTTTTGTTTCAGTTTTTATATATGGATTGGGATACAAAAGGCATTACCATACATCTCAGTCAGAAACATTTAATATAGCTGCTTTAAACAATTTTTATCCTCGTTCTTGTCTCTCCTTTATAATAAATAAGTTTTCATGTTTCATGTAATTATTCCCTTTACAAAAAAAAACAACATTCAATGTCCATTTTTGGATCTCAGCATTCCATTCCAAGAACTTCCGTTTTATCCCCTGATCTTTTCCCCTGAGCGCCATGTTTAACTATTGGTTTAATTACTCTATCAACAGTTTACAGTATTTATATTCCTAAGATTTCAGAAACTCCAACTCATTTTTTACTTTGTACTCTACACAACCTCCTCACGAGCTGTAGTTAATTTTACTATCTGGATCTTTGAACTAACTCACATCTCTTAACTTACTAAGTTTATATATTGCTAGGTGTGTTCAATGCTTCCTGGTCTATATTCAAGCCTTTAGTCTTTCATTCCCTTAGTCTTTCATCTTCTTTGTACTTATATACACTTTTATTTATTTATTTTTTAAAGATCTGTGGAGCAGAGCCCAATATGGGGCTCCATCCCAGGACCCTGGGATCATGACCAGAGCAGAAGGCAGACACTTAACGACTAAGCCAACCCAGGTGCCCCTCTATATATACTTTTAGATAGAATTCGCTATTGGCTTGTCTGCTTTTGCATTTCCATTTTGCAACTGGTACTTATTCCAGTTCTCATCTCATCTTTCTCTTTGAAAGGAAAAAAAATGAAAACAATCTCCATTAATACATGAAGATTTTCTGCATGTATCTTTACAGTTTTAAAATGATGTACTAGCATTTCAAGAAACTGTAATTGCCTTCTAAGGGATAATATGAACAAAGATGAATGTTGAGAGAAGATGTACTCAAAAAGTGCTTTCCTCAGGTATAACTTAATATATAGAAATCTCTATAATTCGACACAGTCTGTGATAACTGCCCTTGAGGTAGTACAAACCCACTGACTGAATTACAGTCACCAAGTCTTCTAGCTGGAAGACCCTCATTCAATCTTTAGCCTTAGTCCTTACTACCTTCAGAGCAGTGTTTCTCAAAGGATGGCCTGAGGACCACCTGTATCCAATTTACCTGAGGCATGTGATAAAAACCAAGCAGTGAAATTACAATGTTTTTGTAATTCGGGTCTGTTTTCATTTCATAGTGAGAGGAAGGAAGTTGACTAAAAATATAAAGAAGGTATCACTCAGGCCTATTTTAAAAGGTGCTCTCAGTGGTGAAATGTTAAAAGATGAGGTGGACTTCGAACTACAAGTTCAAGAAAAGTGTCTCCTTCTTAAGTTAAGCACTGCTTAAGTCTCAAAATACAGGTATCCCACACTGGTGGTGATGCAATATGCCACAATTAATTGCCTAAATTTAGTAACTTAGAACATTTAAATATCACAATTTTAAACATTTCTGCACTTTTATAAGACACCAATAATTTCAAGGATTTCCTTTAGTACAGCATGAACAGCCAGGCTATTTTCAAAAAGTTTTTTTTAGTAGGGTCGAACTGTGAAGTCTTTATTACTTCTATAAAAGATTCCTAATATAAAAGTAGTTGATATTCCTGGTAAGATGTAATTAAAAATATGGCCCTTGCTTTATCCATGCTCTATGAAATGCAGGAAAATGTAAACTTTTAATATTTTGACTGATGATGGTTAATTAGAAATTATATTTGTCATTTTACTGAAAAATATGACTTTACACCTTCTTTTTTAAACTACAAACAAAAAGCCTTATCAATTACATAGTTACTTACAGCATAAGCAAACCATAATTACGTGTTCAGCCTAGCTTCTACTCAAAGCTGTGTTCTCAATTCCATATCTAAACAAATCTCCTATTTCAATGGATTAAGTATAAAGATAAATCTATAAGTTCAAAGGTGGCATATACTTTTCATGTTGTAAGCAGACCTATATGTATGTTTAAGGCAGAGCTATCTCACAAACTCCTAAATCCAGAACTTTTTTTTTTGAAAGGTAGATAGGAAGATCAAGATGAATTTTTTAAAAAGGGGGGGAGGTGTCAAAATTGCAAATTTTTGTAAATATTTAAGTCTCTAGCAGAAGATTCTCTAAACCGGCCACAGTAGCTCCAAAAAATGTAGCACTGAGTAGGAAACACATCTATGAACCTCCTCTTTTCAACAGCTAGCATTAAATGTGAAATGCAAATTAAGACTTCAGTTTCAGAACTTAATAGAGATATGCAGAATAATAAAATGGGAAGTTTGGAAACTCTTGGCAAGATAGAAGCAAAACCTCTATCTAAATTCTTATTTTGATAATAAAGCTTCAAATCAAATAAATATGTTTTAGATGCAAATAACTGGTAATTCACTGTCAGGGTGACTTCTTTTAGATCACTACTACAAGTTTTACACTACAAAAACTATTCTAACTTCAAAGACCAAGACTGTTCTTGAAAATATTGTTTTAATGAACCAGTTGTTTGATATCTCAAAGAAATGCAAGAGCTCATCAGATCGCTTTTATTCTGGAAATTACTGATTCCCATTTTAAATTGTGAATTGGTCAAATATATTTCCATGGGGAAAGAACTAACATTAAAAGTTTGCCCTAGTGAACAAAATAATGTGCCTCACATGTATAAATGTGGTGTTCTTTAGTAAATCAGGAATGCATTTTGAATACTCTCGCCATATGTTCAAAAATGAAAAACTTCTCTTGCAAACAAGCCTTAAAAAAAAAAATCTAAAGACACTGAAATCCACATATTTTGGTGTGCACTAAATTCATCTTATATCTCTTTCTGACTGTTCTAATCAGATTATTATGTATGTGACATATTAAAAAGTTCTCCTAAAGGACTCCTGGGTGGCTCAGTTGGTTGGATGATTGCCTTCAGCTCAGGTCATGATCCCGGAGTCGCGGGATCGAGTCCCCCATCGGGCTCCCAGCTCCATGGGGAGTCTGCTTCTCCCTCTGACCTTCTCCTCGCTCATGCTCTCTTTCACTGTCTCTCTCTCAAATAAATAAAATAAAATCTTAAAAAAAAAAAAAAGTTCTCCTATCTAAAATAACGTGGTATTTACTTTCCATGAAAGATGTTGGACACAGAACTTAAAATCACCTAAAGTTCTCGGCAATGTCAAAGTATGCTTTGCCACTATATGGAAACTACCAGAAAAAGGCCTGGTCCTCAGTTGCTATCAATACTAAGAAAACCTTTTAGTAACATGTATAATATATAATATCCCAGCAAGTCAGACAACAGAACAGATTAAAATCTCTTTCCTTTTTCTTTTATGGAAAACGGAGTTCAAGTCTATTTTCATTCACAAATACAAACTCCATCTTCACTATGGTTAATATTCTCAAGTACCACAACTGATTTACACGTTTATACAAGCAGTTTTCTTAACTTAGCACCCTGGAATATCTGAGGTGTTCCTTACAATGGAGGGGGGCAAATTGTAAGCTGGTTTTCTGCAATTTGGGCTCACCCTGCTGCTTTCAAAAGTTCTATTAACTCTCACCTAGACCATTACTTCTCAAAAACTAACTTTCAGGCACTTGCTGTCCCACATATTATTTCACCAATTTTTCCATTTGGGGACATACATGTGAAAAAGGCACTTAAGTGATTTCAGAATCACTGTTTATTGCATATAATGGCTATTAAAATATACCCAATTTCTCCAAACACATAAATCTTGAAGGAAATTATGATTAACTTGGAAATAGTTATTTGCTTTTTATATCAAGCTGGTCCACTAAGTACTGGATTTACAACACTGTCCAGTCTACCCTTCTCCACCACAAAAATAACTGTCACAAAGAGCACAAGTTACCCAAGACAGAGCACCTAAGAAAGAGTAAGCAAATGTCAGTCACTATAATTAGAGAGGCATTCTGCACAATGCTTCCTTGGGTTTTTAATAATTCTCTCCACTCATAGGCTACAATCGTTCCACAATAGTATCTGGTATTAAATTTCCTAGGCCTTGACTCTGTAAAATTTCATTATCAATTAAAATGACTATCTGAAAGTAAGTTTTCAAATGACACTTGGCAGATATACGTGAAATAAACATTTAAACTACCTTAAAATAATAATAACAGCAATTGAATTTTAAATACTCAGAATCATAAACTGACTTCTATAGGAAACTCAATAAGATTTCCGGGGTGCTGTAACCCCAATAAGGCGTCTTTTCCTGTGAACAGTAAGGACCCTTAGGCCATTACTAATAGCCATCTAGCTTCCCTGTAGAAAGAGTTTGCATACTTACCCAGGAAGGCAAATGGAAAGTACAGGGGGAGGAAGATGAACTGCGGCAAAGCCTTTGTCATATGATAGTGACCTATAAAGTATCAAATAAAGGTACATCATCAGTATGGTAGAGCTTTACAATAGAGCCCCCACTCCTGCAACACCTATGAAGGAAGGTCCTCAAAACCCAGGAGTCCAGCTCTCCTCCAATCCCTCCCCTCTCTACTCCCCACCCCCACGCGCAAACTGTGAAGCAAATAAAAGCAAAGAAGCTCCCTGTATTCAGAGAGCAGAGGCTGAGGGTTGCCCAGCTGGCATTCCAGGGTGTCCCCAGCACCCTCACTCCCTACTCCCCGTATGTACAAAGCTGAAAGTTGATCCTTTTCTGCAAACCCAAAACCCACACCGCGATCATTCATCAACTTGCACCAAGTGATCGCCGCCCCCAGGACAAATAAACTAGTAGCCAAATCATAGCAATCGATAGGCAGCCCGAGCCTTCACGGTGCCCTGGAGCCGGCCGGAGGTAGCACGGCGACGGCAGCCGGTCCAGGTAGCGCAGCCCTCAGCCCTGCAGACCTGGGGCGGCCAGAGCCGTCGCCCAAACACCCGGCCCCAGTCACAATCCCCAGATTGGAGATCGGAACCGAGCCGGGAAACACATTCGCCAGAGCCCCCCGCGGCAAGTGCAGGGCCACCAGGTCTCCGAGGTCGGGGTGGAGGGAGCTAGGAAACCGAGAGGGAGGAAGGGAGCGAGGGATCCCACCCCGCCTTTGTTGCTGGTCACCATCAAGTTTGCATCTTAGTACAAAATGTCGATCTTAAAGGCTGACAAGACAGAGGCAGAGGCACAGGGAGAAAGAGAAAGGGAATAGAGTCCATCTTGCTTTGGGGAAGAGGGGAGAGAGAAAAATGAAGTACAAATCCCACACTCCGGGCGTAAAAGTCTGCTAAACACCTTTCCATAACGGAGGAGCAACGAGTGGGGTGTCCCCGTCCCCGTGCCCGCTCGAACTGGCGGCGGTCTGGGCAGAAAACGCCTCCCTCTCCTCCTCTTCCTCCTCCTTCCCCTCCTCCTCCTCCCTCTCCTCCTCCTCCTCCTCCCGCGGGCCCCGGCGAAGATCCCGCCGCCACCGCCGCTGCCTCCGCTGCCCCCCGGGGAGGCACCGCCGCCCGGCCGGGCGCTGCCATTCCGAGCCTGGACCGCGCGGCACGGCGCGCGTGGGGCCCGGCGCAGGGTGGCCGCGCGGGGACGTCCGCGCCGGGGACCCCCGCGCCCCCTCGCCGCGGGTTGGCTACAAAAGTCGCGCGAGCAGAGGTGGCGGCGGCGCGCAAGAGAGGGGGCGCGCGTGGGGCCCCCACGCCGCGAGTGGGCAACCCCAGGGGATGGCGAAGAAGGCCCCTCCCCGCGTGGGTAAAGTACCCCAGTCTCCGGCAGCCCGGCGTCGGCGGCCTGGAGAGGAGAACTGGACGTGTCATTAGCAGGACAGGCAATGGTTTCAAAGCCCCAGGCCAATGACCATTAGCAGTGGCAGAGCTCGCTCCGTCCCCATCCCCCACAACCTCCACCCACCTTCCCCTTCGTACCGCCCCCACCTCCACCCCACCTCGCGAAAACTTTTCAACAAGATCCACCTGGGCTAATTTGTCCTCAGACAGTTAAAATATTGACTAGACCCTACACACCGGGAGGGAAGGGGAATGCACGCTTTATTTTCCTTTCTACAGAAAGGAAAGCAAAAAATAGCTTCTCTCTCCGTCTCTCCCTCTCCCCCCCCCTCTGTCGTACATGTTGTGTCTTAGCTTTTTGCATCGTTTCGTTTTACCTTCCTCATTTAGCAGAAATGATCGCGGATATTTCACACGTAAACGTGTTCCAGATTCTTGGATTTAGGGTCCTTGTGAATTACAGGACTCGGGTTTGGTCTCAGTTACGTTAAGTTTCATACAATACCAAGAAATTAAAAAAAAATAATAATAAATTTCTGAGGGTGAGCGAGCGAGACGAGGTGGAGGAGGAAAAGAAACCTCGAGTCT